TTTGGTACTGTGTCGGCAGGAGGAGGAATACAATGGAATCCTTCTCTTAATGTATAACTGAGCTGGTTAATAACTTAAATGGACAATCAAGTCTTTTTCTGAGGTGACACAAGGAGGCACGTTGGTAGCAATTGCCCTTGAACTTTTGTTAGCCCCTCTATGGCATTCTTTTAGTGCATGAAACGTAAGCGGTTCATTTTATTATATTTGTATATTTAAATAAAACTATTGTAAGAACATAAGGAAGAGACCATTTGGATCATTTTGCTTGTTTGGTATGTACTGTACAATAGCAGTTAATCCAAATATCTCATTCAGCCATTTTTTTGGGGAAAAATGCTTTTCTGAAGGCTGATCTGTAAGCAAAGCATATTAATCCTGTACTGTTTATGCGCAAGAACGCAAAATGTCAAAGTACGCATCACAATACGTGTTTTTCGGCTTCCTGTTAAAAAAAAACTTTCTCTTCAGGTTCTATTAGCAGTATGTGTGAAGTAAATGTCTAAACCTGTCGCTTCAGCATTGGAGGGGAAAGTATTTCCCGACACAATATGGTAAATATTTGCTGATTAATTCCCTAAGTTGATTCCTTCAAAAATTCGACTTTTTGTAGATTTGGAAGTCAGAGGAAACATTCAGCATCAAGCTAATGCCAGAATCTGAATACATGATCACTTACTGAAACGTCAGTGTGCCTCTATAATAAAACTACATCTCCGTTCCGATGTTGATGACCATCATATTGCCATTCACACTGGGAATACCACGTTTCCTGTACCAGCGGTCAGGGAAAGTTACTTTCGTTTCTGAACTAGCTTGCCGTCTGCCATCTACCCATCCATCCATTTTGCACCGGCTTCATCCAGTTCAGGGTCAGGCACGGTACGTCCTAGAGAAGTGGTTAGAAAATGGGTGATGGATCTGACCGCTGTGCAACCAGCAAGCTTGTAGATTCATTGGATTTTCAGCATCTGGCAGTGGCTGTGCGTGGGTGCTGGGAGAGCTCTGGGTGGTAGTGTCAGCCTGTGACAGCAGTGCACCGGGCTGCACAACCACTTGGCCTGCCTGCTGGCCCTCGGCCCAGTTTCCCAACAGAAGCTGATTCAAGGCAGTGCAGGAAGGGGAGGTGGAGCCTTTGTCCGACAGTTGTGATGGAGTGAGCTGAGAAGAGGGATCTCGCTCGCAAACCTTGCCATAAATGCCACATGCAGGATGTTTTGTGCAATCCTTTTTTTTTGTTCATTGTTCGATTTTGTGTGTTTAAATATTTTGCACCTCCATTTACAATTTCGAATCCATTTATCCAATTCATTGTTGTTGTCGGGGGGGAGCCTATCCCAGCAAGCAGTAGGCATAAGATGGGGTACATCCTGGATGGGGTGTCAGTCTATTGCAGGGCAGACAGACACGCATGCAGACATGCACAGACTCCCACGAAGGCCAGTCTTCACAGAAGCCAAGTATCAGTATGGTAGGGCTGTAGAAGGAAACCCACATGATCATAGGGAAATCATACAAACTCCACACAGACAGCACCAAGAATTGAGACAGCAATGCTTACTAGTGCACCACAATGACACCCATACATTGTGCAGTCAACATTAAATTATTAGGTTCATAACTTTTTAACTTTTATCGGTGTTTAGAAGTGTGTTTCATGCTGTGCCACATTTGTAAGGTTTCTTGAAATAAAAACTTTTAAACAATGCAGTGTCAAACTATTCTGGAGAGGCACAGTGCTGCTAACAAATATTAGCTAGGCAATCTTGACGACACCTGGAGAATGTAAGATAATAATTATAAGCAAATAATCCAATTAGGTCACTCAGCTCAGCTGAGAGGAGAATAAAAAGATGCTGGTTTTCTGGAACCAAAATTCAAAATGACTGTGCTAAGCTCAAGCACGGAATGGAAATGCATTCCACAAAGCTAAATTACATATATTAGTGTTTTAAAACAGGAAGGGCTGTTTACAATAAATCAGGCTCTCGGAGCTCACAGCATGGACAACTTTGACGTTTTCTTGTGATGGATGGCAAGACAGCTCGACCACTTCCATCATTACTTGATTAATGACAAGCTGAAGCAGGTAGCAATGGCGTCCACTGTCTGTAGAGGAGTCTGCATGTGTCTGTATCAAGAGTGACAATATCTCAACAGAAAAGATTGGATACTGTCCTCCCCAGGTTTATGGCTTTTGCTGGCTAATCATTTGCAGGCTGCCTTAAACTCATGAACATTACATCAGACTTGAAAGTGCCATCTCACCTAGATTGGCTTTGATATCAGCTTAACTGATACCAGTTTCACTTTGACGATTTGCTGAAGACAATCAACTTATTGAATTGAATTTACCATAACTTTATGACAACGGGCACCCAAAGTGGAGAATGAGTGTTTTAAAAGCACCAAAGACAAACAAACCTCAAAAGAAAAAAACAGAGACCATACTTGTACATGCCTCATTATCTTACCAGACAGTAACGCCTTGAATTTTTAATAGTTGATTGATTTTTTTCTTCTTGAAGGCTGAAGGGTTTGCCCCTCATGAAATAGGGTGAACAACTCATTGACATATAGGTAATGTAAATCTGTGTGGGCCAGAGGCATGAGACTGTAATGCAGATAATGGTATTCCTTAGGACAAATAGACAATGGCTTTTGTGTCTGTCATCAATACCACTAAGTGATCTCACTCCCTTTATAATGGCTGGCCTTATGAAATATTAATGAAGTTGTCTAAGCCTTGACAACATACTTGTGGAAAGAGTCCAGGTTAATCTCTTGTAGCTTCGAGGGTGAAAGAATGTTCCTAAAATTTCTAAACAATACCTTAAAATTATTCGAGAGAACTTCTGTGTGGTCTAAAGCTATTAAAGACCAAAGATCAGTTTAGAAAAGAAAATGGGAAACTGTAAAATGCTGGAGAGCTTATTTTATTGAACAATGTACACAGCAACAGTGTTACATCAGCTTCAATAAACTTTTGTTATACTTCTGTTCAAACCAATTCACAAGAAAAGCCTATTGGAATTTGTACTGTAAGAACCTGATTTTTGTAATAGCTCATTATCTCAGCTCACAAACCCCATGACTGCAAATGAGAATGAGGAACTGGAGTTAGACTCTGCCCTCCAGCATCAACCAGCCCGCCTTACAGCCTCTCACCTCTTGACACATCACACGCAGCACACCCCCACGCTGGATGTTCAGGACTGAATATATTTGTTGGTACATTTCATCATCCTAAATATAGATTGGGTTGTTTTTTTTATAATACCATTGCAATTTCATTATTATCATCATGTAAACATCTCACAGACATCGCACTCACACCTCTTGATTGGCCTCTCTTTTTGTCCCCTGCTCCCGCCTCTCGCTCCTCCTCCCTCCCAGCCTTTGTTCTCCCGCTACATTACCTTTGCCTACTGCCTTGTCTCTCTCACACCTGAAGAAGGCTCCATGGCCGAAACGTTGTGTTTTCTTTCTTCTTTTTTTCAGTATGGAATAAACCTATTACTTGTTCCTTTGCAGCCTACGCATGCTGACGCAGCTACCAACCTGAAAAATCTCACAGACATGATTGAGAAAGGCCATATAAGATTCTGACATTTCTTAATTTCTGAAAAATACAATTCCATACTGAGGCCACAGCTGCAATTCTGTTTATGTTGTGGTCCCATATTATAAAATCATGCATGACATTCAGAAAATTCCCAGAAAGCCAACAATACATCCAATCACGCATTGACTTGATGATCAAAGAATTAATGAAAGCCAGCAAGTTAATTAGTACAAATTAATCTGTGTATATACTTCCTCAGAAGTATATCAGAATTAGTATAATTTTACGTTGAAAATCAGAATTTTATAGGCTGGTGTGTTAGGCCTATTTGGACAGTAACACAAAATGTGCAAGAGATAACAAAAAAGTAATGGCAGAAAACGTGACAAACTGATTCTGCATAGTGAGAATGCCCTGCTTCTACAGATCATTCAGATAAAGGTGCTAATTTCAGGCTTCCTTATCTGAATTAGCACAGGATGTGTCTCTGAGGCTGTATTTTCTCTCAGAACCTGAAATGAACAAAAGTCAACCAGCTTCAAAATGGACTCTCCTCTTCTGACTTCACGCTTGCTCCTGAAAGCTGACTAGAATGTGAGAAACCACATCAGCTGTGGTGAGAACTTTGTCAAGCACTTATGAAACAGGTTTTCCCATGACCCTCACCTCCTAAAGTCATGTCGGCATTATTAACTTGACGGGGCCGAGAAAATATTGTGAGAGAGCTGCAGGGTAATACAACTTTATACGGGTTGGTATTTCTGTAATGAACCTGTTCTGAGTGACATTGCAGGTAGGCAAGAATCAAACTCAAGCAAATATTTGAAGCAAAAAGTGGTGGTCGGAGGGTTTAGCCAGGGAGGAGATTGATTTCAGAATTGATTTAGTTTCTCAGAGGGTATCGATCGGTGAGATAATCTGGGGTGAATTATTCATTTCCTTTTACTGGAGAGAGCTCATCCCTGCCAAAGGAGGCAGGCGTGTGCACAGATTTGAGAGGATGTTATTATTATAATTAATTGCGTACTGTGCTGTGCAACTTTTTTTTAATTCATGAAGTACTTGGTGTGGATCCAAAAATAGAAGACAAGATTTATTCTCAGCACTGTAGTTCACTTTTAACATGCAGACAGGTGGGATATAATTTATGTTTTATAGTCTACGCCTTTAAGTTAACTCCAATGTTATGTCACTTCATCAACGTAAAAATATACTACTGCACCTTCAGGGATAATATTTACGATGGATGAATGTCCACTGGGAACAGATTATAGATTAAAATGTCTTTTTTAAAATTAAAATGTAATGTTGTAATGTAAATTGAGATGCCCCTTTATCCAAGATCTAAATATTTTTTTTGCTCAGTGAATGTGCTCTGTTTTTTCTTGTTATGCATGTGTATTTAAATTGAACCCTGCTGTTAATTTCCTTGCAGGATACAGAGAAGGGTTTCTATGGAAACGAGGGAGAGACAATGGACAGTTTTTAAGCAGAAAATTTATTCTGTCTGAGCGCGAGGGAGCCTTGAAGTACTTCAACAAACATGATGTAAGTATGCAAATTGTACAGTGTCAGAGCAGTTTCCATAATGGCAGTTTATCCTTGTTTCACCTTTTTAGCACTAGTCATTGGTAGAAATCCCCCAAAGATGGCAGATTTATCTACCAGCAGACTGATGCAGTTTAATTGTTCCGCAGGGCTGTGCGCCAGTCTCTATTCGAAAAGCAATTTCCACCGTAGTTCTGAAAAATGACATGAAAAAAAAAACTACCAGTGTGGGCTCTGAAATTAGAAACCGAGGTGATTTATTTTACCACCTTGCCTGGCGCTCCAATGAAGTGAACCTGTGAGGAACCTAAAACAAGAATATTATATGAAGGCTATTTCTGTAACTCTCTCTGAGGGTCTAAAAGGTCTAAAAAAGAGATCAGACCAAATTATCAGGGTTCAATACTGTGCCAAACAAGCTATTGTGCGTCTTCAGACGCATGAAGAATAAGCATGCTTAGTTTAAAATATCATGAGATTTTAAGTGATAAAAACAGGAAACCACAGGCAGCAGAAAAAAGAAGGCAGGCTGGTGTTCATGATGTGCTAATAATATTATGTTGTCTGTATAGTGCTAACTGCAAAGCATATCACAATACCTTTTGAACATAAAAGTCATTTGGACTTGTACAGTAGTATACCTCTGACGTCAAGACACAGCGTGAACAACACTAGGCCATGACTACAACTTTGAAGCTTTTCAGTAACAAGACAAGTTATTTAAGTCCTCTTTGTTTGTCTGGTGACTACACGAACCTTCACCATCCACAGTGTGGCATGGTACACCCGCAATAATTTAAATCGTAAATATACTTTTTATTAAGCTCTGTAAGTGAAAAAGCAATTTAGTTAAAGGGGCATGTCAGATCTTGCTCTCTGTCAGTTACTGCTGTCCCCTGTCAAGATGAATTGGAATATTTTACTGGAAAGAGCCTTGTGCTGAACTGTACTGTAGGAGCCGTTCTTGACCCAGTGCCATGTCCTGAGAAAGCCTCGACTGCACAGAATAAGATGGGCCACATTAGATCAACAAGGACAGAGGATTATTTTTTTCATTATATCTCATTTCTTATTCTTTAATGTCTGAACACTAGAAACAGATGAGATGCTTGGCATATGTAGTCTTTTTAGCAGTGTCAGTTAAGTTAATCTGTAGAAGTCGGTACTACTAAACCACCTTAATTTAACATGTTCAGGCTCTGAAGAATAAGGGCGTAAACCTTAACCTTTTACGTCTAACTGTCCTGAGTTTTTCATGTCTCGCATGCAGGCAAGAGAACCAAAGGCCATCATGAAGATTGAAACTCTGAATGCGACGTTTCAGCCCTCAAAAATAGGAAACCCTAATGGCCTGCAGATCACCTACCTGAAGGACAACAGCACTAGGAATATATTTGTTTACCATGAAGATGGAAAGGTAAGATGAGCACCGTGAACGTGCCTGTATGATTGTTTTAAATGAAACCAGAGCAGGGTCTCGGAAGAGCCCCACTCCATTGAGTCTTATAGGTCACAGATTTAAATTGGTTACACCTGTTAGCTATTGCTGAAACCACTGGCCCCTGGGGGCTGAAGAATCCTAAATGATGTTCGAGTGACTGCATTTAACAAATCACCTGTTCGATTGATCACAATGGAATTTTTCTAGATCTTTAGAAATCGAAAATGTAATGGTGAGCTACTACCTCTGTAGGACTGGGGCTCTCCAGGACCAGACCTGAAGGTTCCTGGTCTAGAGGTTCTTCAGAGGCTTCTGATGTCCAGACCTCAAGGGCAGAAATCCACCAGGTTCTGTGGGTCTCCATAAACTATCGGCAACTATACACCTGTTTGCCGGAGGGTTAAATTGGTCCAATTAACCTTTATTTGAGATAATCTGACCCTCTTCCTGATTCATAGTCCCGGCTGGGTTGTTACCATCAGGAACTGCGTAAAGGGAGATGTCACAAAGGGACAAACAGTAGTAGGACCCAGATTGAAGTGAAAACTTTATCCCGTTCACTATCTGTTAGTTGATAACTTTGTGGAGAGTTTCCATTACGCATAAGCAAGACGCCTCTGACTAATATAGAGAGCCATGGTCACATACCAGGACTACGGTTTATGATTGTTGGTACGTTAAACTCTGATTTCTAAATCAGGGGGTAGAAATCAATTTGTGCCAGGAGTTAGTGTGGATTGATTTGGGGTCACAGCACATGTAGCTCTCCAGATTGTAATGTCCAATGAGTCTAAGTAGCATTTACAGCAGAAGTCCGAATATGTCATTTAAGTACATAAACTGAGCTTTCGGTATATTTTAACCCCACCCCATTTCATCTCCTCTCTCCACAAAAATAAATGCAAACTGTAGAAGTCTATTTTTTTGCTCACAGTGTGATTTGTGGTTTCTGTGTAGAGTTCTGAGCGTTTTGCAATTTTGCAAGAGCCTGGGCAAGACCCACCATCCTCCCTGCACTGCAGGGAACGGCCAGCAGGTGGCGCAGTCTGTACATAGTGATTGTGCAACTGCCGCTTTTTATTCACCTAAACAAGACAGGACTGCAGTGTGCTTCTCAACAGTTTAATACTGCATTGCCTTCAAATTATTAAGAAAGCATGCTTTCTTTCTGTTATAATATTTTAAATGAATTCTATTTGCACATTTGCTGTCCTCTATTTTATGGTTCCCTAGATCACTCATTAGGCTCTGCACAGTCTAGCTCCACATGATCTAAAGGATGATTTGGATGGGTTCTTTGATGAGCGTCGTCCAGCTCTTAACCAGAGATCTGCTGATCATTCTGCAGAAGACCAGGCTCCACACAATGGGAGACAGCGCCTTCTCCACTGCAGTCTAATTTAGATTTGCTTGTCTTCTTTTTATAAATACGATTAAAAATCGAATTTAATTTTACTTGTCCTTTTTTGCGTGCTTTTCTTTTCCTGCATTAATTGTAGCATGTACTGGTTATTTTGCAGCTCTTTCAATTGGTAAAATACTGGATAGAAAATGGATTCTAAAATAATCCCGCTCCCTGAATATTTTATACTCCAAAGTATGTAAAACCTTTTTTTAAAAGCACAGAATTAGTTAGAAGGATCGGTTTGGGCGATCTTTTATTCTCAGAAATTGTTTATAAGACTTAATCAAATCTTCCCCCAACCCATCATTTACTACATCCGAATGGATTCAATTAAATCTGCCTTTAAATCTTGGATAGAGTCTGATTACTCTTCTTTGAACTTCCTCTGAGGCGGTTATTTTCTATGTGATTACTATGACAGCATACAGTGCTTACTTTAACTACAGTAGATTGAACTTGTTGCTCTCCGTTGACTTGTGTTCTATGTTTTTACTGTGTATTCAGGATGCTGGTATTAATGACTTCAGTGCAGAAGTCTTTTTTGCTACAATGTGATTCCTGGTTTCTATGCATAGAATTATTTTTTTTTTGTGATTTGAACGTAGAGTGTACTGTATGCTGGCCTGGGTGCAATCCATAATCCTCCCTGCACAGCAGGAAATGTCCAGCAGGTGGCGTAGCCTGCACAGTGTGATCTTGCAAATACAGTTTTTATGCACCTGTGCAGGACAGGACTGCAGTGTGGCACAGCCTGTATAGAGCAAGCCTGCAAGCTGTGGTTTTCATCCAGTTAAAGGGGATGAGACTGCAGAGTGTTCCTCAGTGGTTAAGTAATGCGTTCACAGCAAGTTCTTAAGATTAAATGTCCTTGTTAATGCACCGGAACAGTGGATCAGTGTTTTGAAGGAGATGTATATAATGGAAAAGATCACATTTTCTCTAAGGTTACAAGCTGAAAGGTTTTGCAAATGCTGGGAAGCCTGGATTGGGTTTGTGGCCCCATCGAGACCTGCTTTTGTTCTGTGAAAGAGGAAGAAACTGTGTTTTGTCCAGACTGTTGGTTATTTGTTGTGTTTTTGCTGATCATATCTCTAGTTGTAAATAGTTCATTATATAAAAAAATAATATAAGCTAAAAAGTAAAAACGAATTATTATTATGTGAATTATTTTACTTTGTATATGTTGTATTTGTAAATTATTTCATGGTTAAATAAAAAGTTTTAAAAATGAGTTGTAGAAAGGCCAGGTGTGTAGAATCTAGCCAGGTCAATGAGGTCATATCCCAAGTGCCATAAAATATAAGAGCATAGAAAAGGTTACCAACAAGAACCCATTTTTCCCAGCCTGACCATCTGGTAGTTGGTAGATAATTCATCCAATGATCTTCATCCAGCTGCTCCTAGAGAGAAGCCAGGGTACCGCCTTCGACCACATGGCTTGGTAGCTTGTTCCTTACTCCCTCAACCCCTTTGTGTAAAGACATTTCTCCTGTTCTTGCTTTTAAATGCACTTTCACACACATTCCATTTTTTTCCCCTCTGAATTGTATTTCAGTTCATTCTGAGAATTTTGAATACTTCTATCAGGTCTCCTTGTAGTGCTCTCTGTTCCAGTCTTGAATGATTCAGGTCCTTCCGCCTGACAGTGTAGGATAGGAGCTTTAATGTCAGCTCTATGGAGAGGATCAATTGTGGATGGTGTTCTATTTAAAATCTGGCCCATCATCAAAAAACACTTTTGTAAAAGACTGGTATACAGTAGGTTAGGAATATTAATAACATGCAGAGCAGGTCTGAAGCTAAAGCTCGTGTGTGTCAGGGCTGTATGCTACCTCCTGATCACGATCACAGAAACAATGCAGCAAACATTTGGGCAAGACGTTCCTGCAGTGTAGGAATGTGAGTCTTTTGAGGAAAACAAATTCAGAAGTGCCGAAAGAGGAAACATATGTTGAAATTCCACATTGTATTGACTTAACAAGATTCTTTTGTGAATCTGTGACAAGTAATGCAAATCAGGGTGTGCATTTTGCACTTGGAAAGGAACTATGGAATATAAAAAAAAACAGTTCGGGCAGAGGAACTCCTGTAAATAGGAAGTTATTAAGCTTTAATATTTTCAACCATTTTTAAACCCAAGTCCCCATCCTTTGAGGCAGGATCCCAGTTTTGATCCTGCAGGGCAGGTTTTTGTGGGTTTTCCAGGTCTGTTTCAAGTAGAAACCGTTTAGAGAACTGTTGCTGCAAACAAAGCAAAAAATGAGCTGATTGAGCCCAGCTGCACTGGAAACTTGCAGAGACACCAGCCCTCCAGGACCAGGGTTAGGGACCCCCACCGTTCAAAGCTTAACTTCCTGATCAGCAGCACAGCTCCAGTCTCTCTACCCCTGAACCGTGTGGGGACGAGGTAGTGATTTCACATGCACAGCAAAACTGATGAGCTGGAGAGCGGGCAGGTTTGTAACCTCCACCTCGTGGTTCATTCAATGTGTTTAATTAAAAATGAGTGTCGCTGTTATTAGTTCATCTGGTGGTTTGATGACACGTGTGTAAAGGGTAAGAGAACCAGTATGTACTGCATGCGCTTTAATGTTGCATGCTGTATGTTGGAGGAATACAGTGTATGTACTGTATGTTTCCTGCCCTAACCTTTGGTAGACACCTGGTGCCATGACAGCAAATGTCATGGGCATTCTTTAGAAGTCTGATCAGGAGACAAAAAAACGCAGGACTTTCAAAAGCTCAACAGCAGAGTAAATCCAAAAGTGATCCAGCACTAAAGCTTTCACCAGAGACAATTACTAACTCTACGAAAAAGACGCCTTCAGGCTGTAGCAAGGAATGTTTTTCACAAGGGCAACTGAAGATGGAGAATCGTAATACCATACTGTTGATGTCTGTGTCTTGGCGTCATGCTCAGAATTATTCAAAAATATATATTTTCACACCGGTGTATCCAATACAGAGTCTTGGGGGAGCTGGAGTCTGTCTCATCAACCTATGGGCAGAAGGCAGGATACACCCTGGAGGGGATGCTAGTCCATTGCAGGGCACAGACACTCACACCAGGGCCAGTTTTCCCAGAAGCTAATTAACCTACCATTGTGTCTTCAGAATGTGGAAGGAATCCCTTGCAAACATGGGCAGAACATGCAAACTCCACACAGACAGCACCCCAGAGATATAACCCGGGGCCCCAGCGCCGCGCCGCAGTACTGCTCAACTGTAAACGCTAAAATAAGAAATGTTATATATAAGAGTAGGTTTGTCGTACTTCTGCTTTCTACCAGGGGAAGCAGAGAAAGATCATGACACTTAACAGAGGTTACAAAGGAGGGGAAGTCATTCAGCCTTTTTTTTTTTATTTGCACGTTTGGTTTCCTGCAGCAGCTAGAATCAGGTCACAGGCCGCAGTGAACTGGCTCCCACAACAGTTTATCAGATGTGGCCCCGAAATGTGGTCCACAAGAGCACAAATCAAACAGTCTGCTGATGTGAAATCTAGCTTGTATTTAGCATGGTCATTGTACTTGTTGCTGTTTTCTTGTTCTTCATAATGTTGTCGGATCTTTAAAAATGTAGGTTCAGAAGAAGATCCAATAGCAACACCTACAGAAGTGAGGAAATGGCATACCTTCCTGCTCCGGTGGTATTCGGCTTCAGCAGTAGAGGGCGCTACTGGCCTTTATTGATTTAGGAGATAGTGCTGGAGTCGGTGAAGCATGATGGATTTGCTTGTGTTTTGCTCAAAAGGATTCTCACGTAGCACACAAACCTCTGAAAGGTTGTAGAGTAAGAGAATGAAATTTTAGTTTCGATTTGCATCCAAAGAACAGAGCGCCGAGGTCGTTTTTGAACGCATTTTACAGCAATGCAATTGGTTTAGATATTCATGTGTGGTCTGTCTCACTCTTACTAGATTTGCTTCTTTATTATTTTATTTTCAGGGGCTGGCAAGCAAGGTGGGAGTAAACAGCAATGAAATTAACTTTTTTTGTCTTTGTCATTGGTCACAGTTTCCTGATTTCCAGAAATTGTAGCAATCTCCTGACTCACAGATGTATTTTGTCGTTCCTAGGAAATTACTGACTGGTTTAATGCCATCAGAGCTGCAAGATTCCACTACTTACAGGTGGCTTTTCCGGGAGCTAACGACGCAGATGTGAGTATATGTGCCAGATGTCTGAGTTTTGTTTTTCCTGTTTCAGATTTTTTTAAATTGAACTGAAATTAGAACTAAAGATAAACGTTTTGCTATAACTGAGCAAAGGCAGCTGTTCAGCGGCATGTTTTTCTTTAATACCTATTATTTGGTGGATCGAGTCATCTGCTTCTGCTCACGTTTGCCATCTAGCGTTGCTCTTGTGTAGATACACGCAAGGATGATTCGGGAAGTTCTGCATCCAACAGCACTGTTTTGTTCTGAATGCTCCATGTAAGACTGCTCTACGCTTTATCTTTATCTAGACCACAGTGAAATGCAAAGTTTAAAGTAAGTATTCAGTACAGATTTTACCAGTAGAAAAGACTAGTCTGATTCAAATAATACAGCATCTTAGTTGTTTTACCCTATGTATAAAGTGATGTCATATAATCATCTCCGTTTTCATGAACCCTTATTAGTAAAAGGAAACAGACAGGATTTTTTGTGAATGAGGAGGGGTTTCTAATTGATTAGTGATCTCTCAGCCTCATCAGGCTTCATCGCTGAAGGGTGGCAGAGAATCTGCATCCAAACAACAGGCTTGTTGCCATTAGGGCTGATCACATTTTTCTTTCAGGGTTTTGAATGTCTGTGCTCCTGTCACACCGTACTTGTAAACTGGAATATCCATCCATTAGCAGACGTAGTATCCTGGTGAGGATTGCAGCCTGTCCTGGAAACACAGTGAATACGGTGTCACTGCTCCCTGGAAGGACACACAGACAATAGCATTTTTGGAGTGTGACAGGAAACCAGCACACATTGAGAAATCCCTTTGCAAACATGGGATAAACATGCAAGCTCAACACACAAAGCATCTGGGAGACTACAGCACTCACTGCCACATTATTGTGCTGCGCCAATTTTGATTGTACTGTATATTTTTCTTCCTAGTTGGTGCCAAAACTTACCCGGAACTATCTGAAAGAGGGCTACATGGAGAAAACTGGTCCAAAGGTTTGTTCCAATTAAAAACCATTCTCAGCTTAACACCAATACATTTTTTGGGATGATGCAGGAATATTTTTTAACCCTAATATCTCAGTCCTGTGAAAAAGCGGAGTACAATTGAGTACCCGAATTGCACATGAAGAAATGTATTTTTTTTAATTATTCCTGATGATTGCGTTCTAATAACTGACTGCAGTTTCTCACCCACTCACCCACCCAGTCACTCGGCGCTAGGGTCAGCCCGAAAGCAACTGAAAGTAAAATCTGAAAGCAAATGGCTGGGTAATTGTGCGTTTCCTTCCAGCACACAGAAGGCTTTAAGAGAAGATGGTTCACCATGGATGACAGAAGACTAATGTATTTCAAAGACCCGCTGGTGAGTCACCTGGTAAAAAAGTTATATATACCAATTATATATTTAATAAGAATGGAGTATGAGAATACAAGTTTAAAAAAACAACAACTTTTATTTCCACTTTTATCAGGACTATCCATTACATCAAGATACATTCAATTGTCTTTTTCATTGTTATGTCTACTGATGAACAGTCTATTTAAGTATTTCAACCCTAGCTGGGGGCCACTACAATAAACTTTATAATTGATCGCTCCTCGATACATACTGTAATCGTGTTTCCGCTGTAGAAGCCTGTGTAGACATCTTCTACATAATCATTGGCATACGCACTCTTTTTTTCATTTCTAAGAATGCTAGCGTTTCAGAACGACTGCGAAAACGACATCCCCTTTCCAGAACATCACTGTGTCTCTGACACGGTCATCTAAAACGATGTACTTTCAGAGAATGAGGCGCTCGTTCATTTCCACAGGGCACGGAGACTAAAAGCTAGAAAATATCCTGCCCAGCAGAACATATTTCATAGCACTTCCGGGTCAAAGTCCCAGTTGTCTGACCCACTCCAGAGACAGGTGCAGGCAAACGTTCTTGATCTTTGATTTTCAGTAGAAATAGAGACCGTGAAAACAGGGTCTCATCTAATCTGTCTTTAGGAGTTGCAAGCAGGAGGAACCAGAAACATTAACGTAGAGATAACTAGCCTGTGGTGGCCAAGCGTTTATAATTCTGCTCTGGTAACCCATATCCTGTCCCTTCCAGGATGCCTATGCCCGTGGAGAAGTATTTATTGGAAGCAAGGAAAACAATTACACAGTGCTGTCTGGTCTCCCAACGTCTACCCAGGGATATCACTGGCAGTATGGCATCACTATAGTCACTCCAGAGAGAAAATTTCTCTTCACATGTGAGACTGAACAGGACCAGCTGGAGTGGATAGCTGCTTTTGAGAAAGTCCTCGACAGGCCAATGTTACCACAGGAGTACGCAGGTATGATTCCTCCATTCCGGAGCCGACTGATGCTCATGCCTGCTTGTACAGACACCAGCTGTTTTTCGCTTTCGTTTTTGCGGGTATAGTCTGGTATTTCTGATTTTGCAGACATAATTCCCCCTTTGCAGATTATGTCTGTTGAATCTGACATCCATTACTGTGAACTCTGTTATACCCAAGGTTTACTGATCTTCGCCACCCTGTTCTTCTTTTTCCAGTGGAGGCTCATTTCAAACACAAACCGTAAGGGGGACTCATCCAGTCAAGACCAGAAGACTGGCGACAGGCCAGCCGGAAAAGACACAGCGGTTTGCTCATCCTTCATGGCAAATAAAGACGTTTGCGGTGAATTGTCTTTTCCAAAAATGACTTGACTTGAATCTGTCTGACACCTAAAGCAAAAGAGAATTCATTGGAGAAAAAAGGGGATGGTATCTGAGCAACAAACTGAGCATCGGGAACAGGGATAAGATGCCCTGCTAGTTTGTGCCTCTGTGATGTGCTGTACCTCCATCATTGTTGTGGTGAACTGTAGCCTTTAATGAATGTTGTCTAATAATATTGATGTGACTTGAAAAGTGATTGTAACAAGTAATTCAATATAATTACAGATGCCTAAAAGCATAGAAATGTTTATAGTGGTAATACTGGGGCACGTTATCCTGCAGGTCGAGGTTTTGACCAGTGCTGTCAACTTCAGATACAAAAATGTATTTTGCTCAGCCATTTAAATGGTGGGATATTCTTTTATTGGTCTTCATGAGCAAACCCCCACTGCACAGCAGTTGTCTTTATAACTGACTTGGAATACCTTTTCTACAGCTCTGACATGTGCAACTTCTCTACCACCTACTGTATTTTAGTTTAAACAGCAAATGTCATTTGCATAAACAGTCTCTATAGCTTCTTTAAAATTATGGATCTTCAGATGAATCACTGTGAAAGCTGTTTATTTCCCACCATTTCCAAAGCGTTGCTTTCTACATAATCATTAGAAGTCATAAGGTATTTCACAGAGGAGCATAATGGAAATGTTTCTGCTAATGTCTTTCTTTCTTCTCCAGATGTCAATGTAAAGTAGAAAGTTTTGTATCCCAGAATTGAAAGGCAGGAACCCATTTAAAGAGAGTGGACTGAGATGTCATAACCTTGAAATTATAACCTATTGTCATAAGCTGTGAAACAACTTAATCCTGTTGTTCCTTGAAAACTGTTTGCCAATTTTGTTATTTATTGAAATATGTTAAGGTTTTTAGGTTTGCTTTAAAAAGATGAAAAATCCAGCATCTGTATGTATACATATGAAGGATGTGTAAGTATGAATGAAATATATGATTATATAATTTTGCTTTTCAGTTGAAAGGGAGCGAATTAAATCTCTAAGTAGAATTTAAGGATGTTTTTAAAATATTGAGAATGTTGCAACAGCTTGTGGATGAAATTCACCAGGTTTCCACAGTTAGCAGTCCATTTTTGTAACACTTCAGGAAACACTTTGGGTGAGCTGTCCGTGGTGGACAGCTGTCCTCACATAAGATGCATCTAATTGCACAAGATGATGCAAGTATACAAACACTGAGATCATCTGAAGATGGTAGAACTGAAATCTTGATGAAGTGAGTTGTGATTTTCAGTATTTTTCAAGCCACTTTGGATGCAAAAAAAAAACTTTTTTCTCTCATTTCAAGAATATCTTTTTAAATATAAAGAAAAATGGAAAACTGCGTTATAGTCTTTACACAACCGTATATAGACTAATGCCGAAGAACTGGAAAGCAACATACAGTATATACAAACAGGCGGGTGAGGATAGTTTAATTATGCAGTTGAATGAAACACTTTAGTACAATATTACAAATTCATTTGTCTGCCTTGGATAATCTGTTCCCCATGTTTAGTCATCTTGGGAATGAGAGTTTATATTTGATTCTAGTGTTGATTCAATTTGTTGCAGGTTGCACAGGCAAAGCTTGTATGTGTGGCCTTCTGGTGATTGGAAACTACTATTGATTTGGTAGCCATTAACAAAACAAACAAGCACTTCAGGTACTTCAGAAACAGCCTGGGTAAACTTAAGCATACATAAGGCCTGTTTTTTTAATTTCTAAACAAACCATCAGCTACATTATTCTATATATGTTTTATTTACTCAGCTGAAGTACACACAGTTCAGCTCCTAGGTTGGCATTTTTCTTTCCACTTGATCCTGGCTTTGCCTTCCAGTGGGCAAATTGGGACTAGAATCATGTTTCTCTCTAACAAAATTCAACCAGCCTAACATCTTATTTGTCTGTTTCTCTGATCAAATCAAATGTATAAAAGGAGCTTTCACAAGCACAGCTGCTACTGACTGTTAATCACTGTTTTTAAACTCAAGCTGAAACGGTCATGTGCCACATCCAATTCCTTTCACTGGACCTCCATACAGGCATTCCAGCCAGACGTGCTCCAAGAGGGACATGCTTGCTCATAAGTGTGCCATTTAATTCCTGATTTGATTCTATTTCAGAAAAATGTTATCCAGTAACCTACTAAAATAATACAGTGAGAGTTCTCAAACCAAATTGTAAGTTTAAACCAAATATAAATTAAAGGCAAATGCATTTTGCATCTGCGGACTGAAAATATGAAACAAAACCAACACATTTGCAGAATGCAAATGCTGTCTTCTAAAAAGATCTTAGATGTTTCAATTGACTTTAAAAGAACACTGCAGGCGATATTTTGTCAGTGCGTGTGTTTTCATGGACGGGCAGCAAAAACTGATTGTGATAACTGACTTTTCTGGGTTTTTTTTAAACTGATTGGGATCACGAATCTCAGAAGCTGCTATGTGAAAGGTTATGACATTTTTAGTTCTCACTTGACACACCCCTCACTCTGCAATCAGCTTTGTAGAAATTCTCCTCCTCAGCAAGTTCTCGTTGTTACGATAGTTATCAGTTCCTTGTACCTTTTATGAATGTTCATACTGAAGACCGTGTTGCCAAAAAGACACAAAATTGTCCTCGTTATTTCAGAAAATGAGTAATAAAAATGGCAAAAACTAATGAGAACATGCTTTTTGTTTTCAATAATACTACTGAACTCAACCAGATCTTTTGGACAGATTTGTAACTGCTTCAATGCTTGACCTTGTTTAATGATTTTCTGTCATTCTTAGAATTACTGCCTTTTACAGTAATCATACTGTTAATGTATCAGATTATTACAGACTGGCGGCATGCTGGTGCAGTGGTTAACACTACTAGGGACCCTGTGTCCGGTTCCTGGGGTGCTACAGTATCTGCGTGGACTTCATACAGTATGTTCTCCCCATTTTTGTGTGGGTGTCCTCTGGATGTTTCCTCCCGCAGTCCAAAGACATGCTGGTACCGTAGGTTCATTGGCTTCTGGGAAAATCTGTGTGTGCCCTGTGATAGACTGGCATCCCGTCCAGGGTGTAACTCGCCTTGTTGAGACCAACAGCCTGTCTACTTTCAAGCAATGGCTGCATGAGATCATCGAATCAAACTGATACCAGTAACCAAAAGGGCTGCACAGATCAAAAACTGTCCTCTCAATTGAACCTTATAATGTTCTTGTAACTTCTTGAATCAGCACATCAGCAGCATGATGTACAAAGGTAGTAAATTAAGTGATGATGTTTGATAAAAGGTTACACATGAAAAATCTGACTTCTTGAACCAGCGTTAAGATAAATCAAGTTATAAAACAGTAAGTGCAAATAATTTTAGACTCAGCTCTAAATATTGCTAAATTCTTTCATTCACATTCCTGTGGATCTCGAATGCTAACAGGGATTAAATACGCTGTGATAACTCAGATGACCATGGGAAAAAGGATATTGAATTTGTAACTCATAAGGGGTTTTTGTATACATGCTTGCTCGATTTTTTTCCATGTTTCCAGGTGGAGCCAAGAAAAAAAGCTACCTGCTCCGTCAGTCTGTAGCCACGCCCACTCGCATGACATCTCTCGCAGGCCACGCCCCGCGCACCTGTGCGCCAGGTTCTGCTGGAGAGAGCGGAGCTGAGTGAGTTTGTTCCGCGTCTTTTATGATTATTTTTTATTTTTCCTTTGTTTGAATGTAGATAAAATTTAACTCGTGTAACTATGTAGGCTAAACCTCACAGACAAAAGGTTTAAAACACGTATTTCCGTTGGGAGCTAAATAAAATTTTAATGTAAGTCTTTGTTCACAAAATTAAGCGTGTGCGTTTATCCAAACCCCGAATGAAGTCTGCCTAGAATTGTAAGGGTTTTTCATTATTTTCCAGAGTTTGTTATGTGACTATGCTCTTATATTCGTGGTTAAAATTTCGCTTGCAACTAATATTTTTAGTTTCATAGTTCTTTAAATGATAAATTCTGCTTTTTTTGTATTCAGTTTAGTGTCTTCGGGCAGGAAATGATTCGCACTAAATAATGGGGAAATGATTCGCACTTATAATTTTAGTTAAACGTAACTAAAAACATTTTATTCATGTCTTCACGCGTCTTATTGAAATACATTTCTGCCCTGGTAAAAACGCAGTTTGTTTCTAAGAAACTTTGGTTTAAATTGTCTAAAATTTGATCGTCTAAATACTTGTGTTCTTGTGTTTTCAGTTTAGTGTCTTCGGACAGGACATCCTTGGCTCAGCTGCTGGACTTATTGATGTAAGTATAAACCTTTTTATTCGTTTAAAGTGCATCTTGTGATAAGAAGACTCGAACAGGCAACACTAGATTTCTCCAGGGCAGAAGTGGTTTTGACCCGACAATACTCTAGGTCTGCTGTTTATAGAAATCATTTTCTGCTAAAACTTCGAAAGCGATCACTTTAGCTTTTCGATGCGCATAATACAGATTCAATAGAAACAGTTTTGGCTTCACAAAACTCCGTCACAACAATTAAAGCAACTGATCCTATAAAGATATGGTTAACATTAACATTTAATTCAAGATGATTCAGACATAGAATATGCTAATTGATAATACTGTAGCTATGTTGTGTCTTCTCCGTATTCTCACTTTAAATTTAACATTTTCTATTGCGCCAGACTAATCAATTTATTCCAACTGTAAATCTTTTTAAACTGTTTAATCTTCTGAACGTGTCAGTCAATAGAGGAGCTCCGTCTAACTAGCTAGGATAATTTAGCTGGGATCATTTCGATACGCTGTAAGAGAAAGCACAGCTAATACTGATTTCTGTTTTTTTTTTGCAGAAAATGTAACGAAGTTCCAGTCTTCATTCCGGTCGTTGCCTAGACTGATGCCTTGGAGAAACAGTAACGTGCTGTGTGTTTCTGTTTTTCCATGTAGTTGCACCCAAATGTTTTTTGTACTTTGTAGACTTGTAAAAGCGTAAGCATTAATGTAGCCGTGCTTTGCCACTTTGTAATTGAAATGCATGTTGATTTTCACTTTGAAGCCTGTGCATCCGACGTATTGTAATGCTTTGTTTTGTATGCCATTTTCGCTCAATAAATTGTTGATTGAACCTTGATTTTGTTCTTT